GATCTATAATAATATTTTGCTGTTAATGTACAGAGCTCATAAAGGTGCGTTACCTTCCAACATTCAATTAAATTTTGTTAAAAGAGAGAGCTGTTATTATCTTAAGGAAATTGAAATGTTTGTGAAACCCTGGTTTCATACGAGCCTGAAGGAGCGATCCACTTTAATCCAGGGAATAAGACTGTGGAACGGTCTGGAAGATGAAGTTAGAATGATAACATCTAGTTTTCTGAAGTAATATGAAGAAGTATAAGTGAATCCATGCAAATTGTTGTTTGAGTTGGTGTTTTAAGTTTAGCTTCGTTTTTGTTTTTTGTGTGTTTTCAGTTATTTTGGTTTTTACTTTCATTTTTGAACATATTCTAGGAATAAAAAAGGGGCCGATATTATAAGATTTCTTTTCCTTCTGCTGCCTTTCATTTTGTTTGATTTTATTTTGATTGCATGTTTTTTTTTGTTCTTTGTTATGTATATAAGTGTTACAAATGAAATGAATACATTTCTAAATAAATTTTAAAAAGCTTTCAGTTTAATTTGTTTTCTGAAATAAATGAATAAGATCTATTTAGAGTTCAAAGTTACAATGGAGTGACAGTCAGAGACACAACAGCAGGCCGTTCCAGTAAATCAAGAAAGAATGAAGTGTGTGTGGTTGCCCTGCTTTGCAGCACCCAGCGTGTTGCACAGATTAAGAAGATAAGAAACAAAAAGATTTTTGTCTACATCGTTTTATTAGAAGCAAAATCAGTGACAGATTAATCACATGAGACCATATTTTTATACAATCACATTGCACGAGTAAATATTATTAATTAATTTCTTCATTGGATGGTTTGGAGAGTGAGTGGAAGCCATGCTTCGGGTCTAGCAGAGGTCCTCTTTACAGCAGGTCGTGAAATAGTCTTCCGTACAAAATTCCTCACAGGATCGAGAAAMGACGTTGTCTGTTCAATGAATAAAAAAAATAAAAATGGAGAAACAATGAATAAATGCAATCAGATGTGGCTTAAAAAGCATTTCACAGCCAAACAGGACCCTCTTCAAAGTAAAAGAAACCCCCATGCTCTGCGTACCTTGGACGGTGGTTTTACAGTTTATTTCTGAAGGAGCGCAGGTAGTCACTGTCTTACAGATTTTGTCATTTGTGTCTGCGCAGGTGTAGCACTGGAGTGTGAACACTAGAAGAGAGACAAAAATCAAAACTTCACATTCATCTCTGTGTCATGAACACAGCTGACTGGTCTCATAGTTACACGAATGTATCGCAAAAGATAGAGACAAATGAGTTAGGTTGTTTTCTTAAAAAATACAATAAATAAGGAGGCAAATGAAAAATTGCCTTGGTTGACTCACCCTGTGTGGTGCAGACCAGCAGGACCAGAACTGTCAGCAAGAGAACCTTCATGTTGTCGGCTATGTGGAACGACCTCCTGTTCCGACTCTTTTATACCGTCACAAAAGCACACACCAAACCAGAACTGAGGCATGCATTTCCTTGTCCCAAAGATTCCAGTTAATGCTCTAACCTTACATTCAACTCATGCGTAAAAGAAAGGGTTGAATTTCATTTAACCTTTGTCTGGTAAAATAAGAATAATCTCTGAGGATCCTTGATGGTTTTTGAAGTTACAACATTATCAGTGTAGAACATGTAAACAATCTGTTTAGAACACTTGTGATGATTTGAGCATTATTATCTGTTTTCAGCTTTGACTGACTTGACATTTCTTTKAAAACAATAGATTTCACTACAGCAGAACTTTAAACCACAGGTGTTCAAATCTGGGTTCTTGCGGGGCGGCTTTTGTTTTGTTTTCCTTGTTTCCCTGCTCCAACACACCTGATTCAGTGATTGAATTACCTCTTCAAGTTCTGCAGAAGCCTGTGAATCACCCTTATATGCAAATCAGGTGTGTTAGAGCTGAGAAAACTTTAAAACATGCAGGATATACAGTATATATAAAATATAAAAGAGGTATAGCCGGTTAATGTATACTGTTTACCTTATATTCACTTGACCAAGTGTSTGAGCAGATAGAAAACAGCGTTAGAATTAGAACAACAAAGCTTGTGTACAAACAAGAGGTCTCACTTCATCATAAACTGTATGTTTGTCTCTCTAGTGCATTTCTGCTTAAAACTTATAATGAGAAGAGTATTCAGATATTTACTCAAGTAAGAGTAGTGATACTTCATAATATTACTCAAMTGAAGTAAAACATACTCCAACTTATACATTTTTTCCCCAAAAGTTACCCAAGTAAATATTCCTAGTTACTCCCTCCTCTTGTTACACATGATCATCAACCAATGAATTCTTATTATAGACGTTTTATCCTCAAATAGTTTGTTGTCTTTGTTCGTGGATGTCAATCCCTCTTAGATTAATTAATGAAAGGCGCAGGTACACATACATTATATAATTTTCCATCACACATTAACTCATGAGTTATGAACAGAAGAACAAGGAAGTTGAAACATCCAAAAATTCCTTGTTCTTCTGTTTCACTTTGTTGTTGTTACAACCTGTCCGGTTACGTTTCAGCAGATTGTTTTTGTCACGAGAGCTTATATCATTACAGATAAAAGCATTCAGTGGTAAATAACAAATAAAAATCAGCTTCTAGAACTTATTTGATCTGTTTTGTTTTTCACCTTTTAAATCAGCATATCTTGCACATTGGACATCAGACAMTCATGGTAGAGCTTGAATAGCTTGTTTATTTCTGATGTTATCTGCAGAATAAGAGGTGAAGAAGATCAYATGAAAGGAAGATTTCATCTATTCACACCTGTTCATTGTTCTTCCTGCGATACAGTTCGTGTTTTCAGAGTTTTTGAGCAGATTGTGGCATCAGACACCTACTGTACATATGCAATGTCAAGTTTTAAACAAAGATGCATTCGGTGCTTCCTGGAGGAAAATAAAACCTAAAAACTAAAATAAAAATAATAAAATATTACAAATAAAATAATTAAATTACACTTTGTTGTATTTAATCACTTAGTTGCCCATTTTATTCAGTCACTAAAAAGAATCTCAGTAAATTAAATTAATCTTAAAACTGAACATGACTGCTGATAATTAATCTAAGATATATTTTTGATAAACAATGAGACATTTGGAGTAATCACAGTATTTTTTGTGATGTTGACACACACACACACACACACACACACACACACACACACACTCTGTCTCTCTCTCCGTCTCTCTCTCTCTCTCTCTCTCTCTCTCTCTCTCTCTCTCTCTCTCTCAATGACTGCTAATAGAAGGGAAATATTTCTTTTTGATTAAAAGAATTATATGACAGGATAGCCTTTAAATGTAATGTGGAAACAGTGTTGTTGTTGACACACACACACACACACACACACACACACACACACACACACACACACACACACACACAAAAACAATCATCTTTTTTTCCAACATGAAACATTAACTTTTAATCCCAGATTTTATTTTTTTTTAATTACAGCTTTTTTGCGTTCGGCCAAACCCATTTCTGGGAAAACATCTGATGATTTTTTTCATTTTGGCAGAAGCTGACAAACGGGTTTTTTAAACAGCTGATTCACTTCAATGACAAGAAAGGTTTGCATTTTGAAACAAGTAAAAAAAGGTTTAAAAGGTGAAACCACATCTTAGCGAACAGAATCATGTTTTTTAATGTGGCCAGAAGAATTATAAGCTGGACTTAAACCTTACTATCATTTTTAAAATCATTTAAAACTGACTGAGGCTAAAAAAATGCGTGAAGAATTTATAATCATGCCTGTAGTTATTATTTATAAATGAACTATTTAAACACAGCATCTGCTCCAAAGCAGATATTTCAGAAATTAGGTCAACATTTGAATCATTTGAATTTCCTTGTTTCGTTATAACTTTAGTATTTTTAACATTGAGTTTAAGCTGCAGAGTTTTCAGTGTGATGTTGGAATTGTTTCACTGCAACACAATAAAATTAAGTTATACAATATTCAGAATTATATAACTTTTATCAAGCATCACTGAAGGAAACTGCAATAAAAGAAACAGGAAGTTAGGAGATCARGATTATTTGTCTAAAAGATCAATCATAAAGCAAAATGAGGTTGACAGATTTAAGAAGATTACAATACTTAAAACTAAAAAGAGATTAATTGTGTTTTGTGAAACAGATTGTGGAGCAGCGTGAGGCTGAGCTCTTTTAACTTGATCGGTTTCACTCAGAGCAAAGTTTCTGTCTGCAGCTTTGCAGCATTTARATCCTTCAAACAAGACATTTAGAGTTAAAAGTCAAAAGCAGACACATGAAGAAGCATGGATTCAAATGATGAAATCATTTAAGCACGAGGACAAACCATGAGTGAAACTGAAGCAGAGATTTTGAAGCAGAAGTTGAATAAAATGGGAACAAATGAGGAACAACGTCGATAAAGAAAAACTCATGAGAATCGAAGAAACAAGAGAAAAATACTTTTTTTCTGAAGAGACCAAAGACAAAACAGGTGCTTTAATTAGTTTTAGTTATTATTATCAATATTATTTAAATGGCACTAATTACAAAAGGTAATTCATGCCCATAAAAAGAAGTTGCACCCATTTCTATTTTATTGTCTATTATCTAAGTTATATCCTGTTTATCTGCATAGCTAATTATTATAATTCCATTACATTTATTTATACTGTGTGATGTCGTCTCAGGGCACTGTACCATAACACCCACATACATTCTAAATGTCAGACTCATTTGCATACGAGCTACAAGTTCTGATCYTCATCGTTGAACTGGTTTGTTCAGCYTGTGGTAGTACTGCTGAGTTCACCTGAAACTCCTCAGATCAAAGACGTCTGTTGAAGAGACAAAACGGTTATTTAACAAAGGAGAACCAGAGGATCTACTTAGATCCCTTTTAACATTAAAAAAAGTTTTAATACGGTCACTTTTATTCTATTGTCAACATTATCAAGTCTAATAAGATACAATACGATGCATTACGTTATAGTTGTCATTTCATTAAAAAAGTAAGTTCATTTAGTCATAGAAAAATATATATTGTTCCATAATTTACTTTTTTTTAGCATTCAGTTAGATAAAACAATAAAMTAAGAATCAGATGCTAAATAATTTAAATGATTTGGGACCTTGTGCTGTCTGAACCGACTGCACGTCTCAGGTTTAAACTTGTGGTTAAATTTGATTTAATGCTTTTTGCAGCCGTCCTGATGGTTCAGTGGGGTTTAAGGACTGCTGAGGTACATCTACTTAGAGCAGCGGTTCCAAAGCTCGGGTTCCACCGACTCATCCCGGCAAAAATATTCTTTTGTCATTTGAAAATTTATAAATTTTCATAGTTTTACAAGAAAAATACTCTGACTTTTATACATCAACAGTTTTCACTTCTGAAAGCTTCAAAAMTGAATTTTTGTCTGACCCAATTAATTTTATTTACTACTTAATAAATGGATGAATCATGTTTTAAATACCTACTACATTATTTATATCACCCTAGTACAATTGAAAGACATGATCTGCGGTTTTGTGGTTGTTGTTTACAGTTTGGGTTCATAATTTTTTTAATGTTTTTATTCCTTTATTTCCTTGTTTTATTTTAAGATCCTTTGTTTCACCGTCTCCGTGTTACAGTCAGTCCTGCTCCTCCACTCAAGCCTCGTACTCATAATCATTAGTCTCAGCTGTCACTTTAATGAGTTAATTCCTTGGTGTTATGTAATTTTATAAGCTGCCACYTCAGATTTTTGCTGTAATTAATGATGGGAAGATGACATATGGCACTTTCTCCTGATTGTATCGCCTAACAGRGACATCTGCTGCACCCACAGAATCATTGCAGGGAGATGCAGACATGTTCATTAATGTAACATTCAATCATCCATTATCTTCACCTGCCTTATTTTGCCAGGACACTGGAGCCGTGGTCCAGCAGTCACTGTCCAAGGGGTGAGGTACACCCTGGAGAGGTCTCCAATCCATCACAGGGGAACAGATGGACAAAAACTAATCACAAGTTCTGATTTCTGATCAGACATTACAAAAACAACTACAACCCCAATGTCAATAAAGTTGTACAAAACGTATATATATATATACATATTTTTTTTACAGTATTTAAGCACACGGAGGAAAGAGAGAAGATGAACAACAGCTGAGGGAAACTAATTGGAAACTACTGAAATGTGAGAGATAATTGAACAGCAGGAAACAGACTGAGGAGAAGTGATGAGTAATAACACAAGGACACAAGAGGGAGACCACAGACAAGACACAAATCCCATCACTTCACTTGAATTAGGGTTGTACAACTCTCATTTCTTCACATTAGACAATTGTAGTTTAAAACTCTGGCTTGAACGGTGCCAGCGATACGTTTTTCTAAAAAATACCAGACCTTTWGTTTAGAATCTATTTTCTCT